CATTATCGGGGTCGAGGGTGGGTTACCTTACGCCTACGAGTTGCCATTTCTATTGCACCACGCATTGAATATAAAATAATCGATAAACAAACATTAAGCTATTGTGTATACGCAAATGTCAAATGAATACCTACGTATTAACGCCACACTTAATTTTCTATTGTATATTCGCTGAAATTGCTTGGCAAATGATGATAACTAAAGGTCAACACATTATTAATGAGAATCGATATTACGAGTACACTTTCTTATTTCACTAGAGTAATTTCGTCTAGCATAACTCCCCAACCGTGTTGTATTACGAAGTACACACCATAATTAAAGCTTTTGTATCAAGTATTTTCAAGGCTTAGTTAAAGCCGCGAAGGTATGCGTGTTTTATATTTGTCTCGAATCTAGTATTCTGTTGCGAGCGTAATATGAAAACAATGTTTAATAGATCTGGTTTGTGTACTTATGGTAGCGTGTGCATACATTCAATACCGGTTTGTGGCGCGGCCGCGTCCGTGCAGCCGTGCACAGACACCGCTACCGCCTGCCTCCTGCCGCCTTCACTGCACTTCACATATGTAACGCAACGACTTAACACCGAATGTGTTTAAAAATCAACTCAAAAATTTGAAATAGTCTCTCAAGAAAAAAAACTAAAGTTAAAATACGTTGAGGGGATAAAAGTTTGTTGTTATAACTATTGAAATATTTTTATGAATCAAAATGTAGGTCAATAAAAGTGTTCCGCTCTCGCCGACCAGATGTAGAGATGAAAACATCTGGTCCGCGCCTCTTGCTCACGCAAAAAGTTTAGATCATTATTAATCTGTAATAAAAGGTAACCTCTGAACCATAATCATCTACATTTTTTATGGTAGGACAAGAAAAAGGATGTATCGACAACAGAAAAGTTTAAATTTTTAAGTCTTGCGAAATATTGTACCAAAATATTTGCTGATGAAATAACTATGTTGCCTTCACGCTTTCTATTTTGCCAAGCTAATCGATAATGGTACCTAGCGTGTTAATGTGTAATCAAACGACAGACATCGATGTATTATCTAGGGCTATGTATACAACTAAAACGTTTGTTAACATCTATGTAATTGTGTAAGGCAAGGTGTACATACGCTTTAGGCGCGTTGTTCAATATCGCAGAGGGTCTGCAGGGAGCGACGGCGGTTAACCTCGCAATGGGTCGACATGCCTACGTGTCTTGTGTCTTAGTATGCAGCGTTTATACACAACATATAGTAACAGTGCATGATTAGCAGATGTTTGATGCGCAGTAGAGTAACGACATTGACAAATCACGTTTTCTAATCAAAGACATATGTAATCAATGTGTTTTGCCACTCGGCATATGAATACATGGCTCCCGCTAACGCTGCCTTCATTCAGGAAAGATTTTACTCTTTTTAAACTTTGATGCCGTAGTTATAACAAAGCCACAGATGACGAGATAAAGGTCGCTTGTTAATCGGTCGATGATTTGATAAGAGCAGCTCAGGACGCGTTCCATGTCCCTCGTAGTACTTATAAATAAATAGAAGTTTCACCGACCAAACACCGCGAAATGCTTAACATGCCCACCGCGATCTCTGCACTAGTTACGACTCACGCCGAGCTCTGTGTAGCACATTGTTTATTATATTATCGCTCACCTTTATAGTTTTCCTTATCGCATTGATTGGTGCGAGCGCACCGCTGGCACGACTGGAATAGAGGTTGCGTCCGTGCAAAGGACACGCCTAGAGTTCTAATGTTTTTGTTACAATTCTTGTACAATACGAATCATCTTGTAAATTTTAATTTGCTATATTATATCCCTGTTTTAAAACGATAGTTTAGCAGACGGATTTCTGTGGCTTTGACGATCCTTCCATTCCACTTTTATAATGAAAGTAAAATAATGTGAACTAGTTTAGAATGCACTTTTACTGGTAATCGTGTGTGAAAGCGTCCGCAAGCCGCGTTTCGTGGCATGGCGTGGTGTGGCCCTAGGAAAGTGAGCAGTCGCGCACATTGTCGCTTTATGGATCATAATAAATCTCGGCAATCCATTAGTCCCTCGTTAAACGGCATGTTTATTGCCGACACGTCCGCCTCGCGGCCGTGTCTTCGTGCACCCGCTTGCTCGCTCGCTCGCTCATTATATAAGCCACCGTGTTTATGTCGATCTCAACGTCAAATTAACATCAAATTATAGTATTACATTTTTTGTTATGATGTAATTTTGAAATAGTTTTTTTTTCATTCAATATGAACATATGTAGTCATAAATCTTTTTGTTATGATCTGTCAAATTATACAAATTACAGCCATGTATTTTAAATTTGTTGTGACATTGAGATGCTTTGGTTCTTCTCACGTGAATAAAACTTAATAACAACAAACGGCGTTATGGTATAAGTGATAAGCGATTGGCATTTAGTAGTTTTCGGCGCGCGCCTGGCTATCGATCCCCGCCGCGCCCGTCGCACCCCGCGTTATCCGTACCACAGCCATGCGACCTTGAACCTAATGAACTTTGAGGATGCACCACCATGGTGGTATCTTCTTACTGCAACAATAACCATTCACTTGAGAACCAGTCATGTCTTTGCTTATAATATAGAACAAAGTTTACTGCTTACGATTTGAAATGCGCAATGTTTGTGTCCCTTTCGTTATCAAACGGGCGTTGTATCAACATTTCTTCAGATGTGCATATATTTTATTGGAATTATCAGATATATTTAAACGTAATTAAATAATGTGACTTAAATTGTTGATTGACTTTCTCTGAATAAGGTGTGCTAAAGGACGACAAGTTTCATTTTCCGCTATTGACATGTAAACATTGACAATTTCCTCGATTCTAAAATGTTTAATTTGTTGAACGAACATGTTGAACACACTTGTTGATGATTTGTTGATTTACAAATTTTGAAAACGTTTTTTATGACTTTGGAATATGATAGAAAATATTTTAAACATCATCATCTAAAACTAAACGGGCGTATCGAAATCGATTTAACCTTTGGTATTGGCGATGTGGTATCCATTGATGGCGGCCGCTGTTGCTCGTCATGGCGGGGAGGAGCGAGTGCGGTCGTGACTGCACGTACCGCCTCGCGTACCGGTACCGCCGGCGGAGTACGGTACGCGTACCGTTCGCCGGCGCCCGCGCGGCCTTGAGCCACCGCCGCCGAACCGAACGCGACAATAATTGCACGCGGTACCGCTGCACACCGCAACCGGTATTATACCCCCACCACCTGCCCCCTGCCCCCTGCTCCGGCGCGCGCCTAGCTCGTCTTATAACCTGTAAACTTTTAATTGTGTCAGGTCAGGCCGGAATTATGTATGTAATGGTCATAACACCGATCATGACTTTGGTATTACCAATGTGAAGAACGAAAGCTTCCATAGGATTTTTTCCCTAATAAAGAAAATCAATAATCCATCGTGTATTTTATTAGCAGATTTTTAGTATCCTTACTTATACTTCAGAGATCTTGTAAAATTTGTTTCTATTATACTTATTTTATTTCTCATAACGTAATATTAATCATAGCTATTGGTTGTAATATATCTACATGCGATAAAGACAAAGGACCGCGCAACGCCATTGTTCCGTAACACCCTGAATATAATATCTATAAGGTTAAATCATCGCCGTTAACCTTTGCCACGCATTGGAAAAACTAGTCCGGAGATGGAAAACATTGCGCGGCCACCTGGACCACGAATGTCAAGGCTGCACGCTTGGAACTTCTCCAGCGCGCCGCTGCAGCGCTCGCGGCCGCCTCCCGGACACAATAACAACATCGCTTACATAAATACTCCACTGCGGCTTCGCGCGCTTGTGCTGAAAGTTGACCGAGTAATCGCTCGGAGTTAGCGCCTCCTCCAACGGAAATATTTACATGTCGCACTCTATTGCGATATTCTAAGGTGGAAATTTCAATGTCAATTAAAATGTTAGCGAGTCGCATGTGTGTCGCGCGCGACGACAAACACGAGCACGTGCGCGCCGCGGCGGCCGCGTGACGTCAGAGCCCGCCCCTTGCGCGAGCGAGACGGAGCGCGCGGAGCGGCAACCTCGCTCTCGGTTTGTTGTGGCACGGCGCGCAGGCGCGGCGATAGCGCGGGTTTATCTTCCGATTGCATATGCAACTATTTGCAGCTATCCTCGGCGGTGCGTCTCGCGGCCGCTTATCGCGTCCGCTCTATGCTGCACGGCATATGGATCTGGACCGTGCTCCAGGCATCCCGCTTCTCTTCTGCTAGATGGCGTGCAATTTACAAATTAAAAACTATAAATGACAAATTAATTAAATCTATAGCAACGTGTTTTTGTTTTAGTTAAGGCATCGTTCTAGCAAACTTTCTATTTCCGGCCCAATTTTATATAGGAAAATTTTCTTCAATGTTCACTACTTTCCTAAACTAATTTTAGGAAAAGTTAATTACGAATCGATTCTTCGAAAAATTCCGTAACAACATCAGTTCGAAATGCGGTTTGTTTGTTTCATCTTAGTTACGGCCTTGCTGAGTCTGAAATTGTGCGGAAAGATCCGCTCCGATACGGTGCTCTCGTCATCACGCTAATGAAGCGGGTGATCGGTGAGCAAATGACGTCATTCGCATATAAAGCTCTAAGCGTGATAAGAGTTGACTGTCAATGTCAAGGCTTGGGGCTACAGGACTAAGCATTTCTTATACCGCAAACGAATCTCGTTTTGCGGCCCAAGATCGGTCCATCAGTCAGTAATGGTCCTTTTTATGAACAAAGTCATTTTTAAGGTCAAAAATAGGGGCGAACTTTTTTTTCTTTGATTAAATTTAAAATATTCTATGTTACTAAATGATAACGTAGCTTTTCAATGGTGGAAGAATTATTAAAATCGGCTCTGTAGTTTTTGAGGTTTTGCAATACATACAAAAATATATATCTTTCCTCTTTATAATATTAGTATAGATTGTACAGACTTGTACTGAATGGCTTATTTCTTTATTCACAGAAGGCGACCAGGGCTCATGGGAGGGTGGACTATCTTACGAGTGCCGATCCCTGCTCTTCAAGGCTTTGCATAACCTCATCGAAAGGTAAACAAAATCAAATGATTTATCAATCAAGTTGTAGCTATCGCTATGTTTTATGATGCTTATTAATTTGGTTTGTTGCGATAAGAGGCGTTTTTGTGATTCACGTTAGGCGTACTGGTCGCAAACTTATCTTCCGATAGTCGCAGCAAGTCCGCCGTCGCGAATCTCAACTTCGTAGTACTCAAGGCTACGCAAATCTGCGATTTTGGTCTCTTAGCGACTTACGCAATATCATCTCATACAAGATCGTCCCTACTTGAGACTAAAATTGCAGATTCGCATTGCCTTGTGTTGCTTATTGTCGTAAAGGTATAATACGTAGTCCCGTTAATGTTTACTCAGATACACGCTCAGAGATGTTAATCAGGAAATATGTGCGGTGTAAACGATCCCATTGTTCAGCATGAAATTAATATGTGAATGTATTTTTAGTGACGACGCGGCGGTCTTTACGATGTGAGACTTTAACGACGTCGGCACTTACAAATCTCTTACAAAGTCGTGGATTTATTTTTATTTAACTTAATGACCATTAAACGGCACCTTAGGTATCTTATCATGTGGCCAAATTTATTACATACCTCACAATTTTCTGTAGGTCGTTTTGAATGATTTGGTAATGTCTATAAGAATTTATAAGAAAGAAAATTCTATAAGCAAGTTTGACAATCAGATTTGTTTAACTAATTATAGTAAATCTATGTCGGCACCGGTATCGACCGATCGCGACATATGTAAGTTAGCATTGTGGGGATATGGCGATGTGGCTGTGGTGGTGTGGGTGCTATTACGGGGGCGAGCTGCAGCGCCAGCCGGCCGGCGGCATCTCACCGGCGGACGAAACTCGAGCAGGTCGACGACCCCGTCGCGTCGCACAGTGCGCGCACCGCACGCGACCACACCGCGACCAGTCGGCGACACACATTGTGCGCCAACCGTACCACTGCGACAAAACTACCCGACCATTGTTTCAATACGGTCAAACATGTCCTGTTGTTGGTCATCGGGCAACGTAGATTTGAAGTCAAGATTATTGAAGTCGAGGAAACGGTGACGTTACAAATATTCGTAGCAGGAATAAGGAAAATACTTAAGAGAAAAATGCAGATAACTCATACATTACGTCATTATTCTTCAAGGTTACCGTATCCTTCCAGTTGTAATCGTCTCTTCTGCTTATCCTCCTTATTATGGAGTCTCCGTGTTTGTTTTGAGCTAAACCAAAGTCCAGATATGTTGGCAGTTAATTTCCGCACTGGTTAGATTTATATAAATAGTCTGATGTATATCCGTTTAATTGATAAGAGAGGACCTTGGCGGCGCTCCTGTAGAAGTTCAATGTCGCGTAACGCGCCGCCGTCGCTGTGAGGCCGCTGTACCACTCTTAGATTAACGCTACTTCATTTAATTACTAGCTGTTCCCATGCGGCTTCATCCGCATTTAATTATAAAAACTTTATTTCATTTTGTATATTTGTCAAATTCACAATTGCAAATGTCAAAATACCAATTACCTTACTATGGCAATTTTGCTTCCTTCATGTTGGCAGCAACTTATGGTCTCTTTCCCACATTAGGGTTTTTATCCAAAGTAAGTAAGTTAATGGCGTCCCCTAAGTTTAATGTATTTACGATATGTCGTAAGTGTAGGGCTTTTTATTAAAGAAAGAATTATTCAAAAATATACTGTGATTGCTGACATCCTACGCCACGAAGTAGTGTGTGTCCACGCTTTATTATGTTAGTATAGATATATTAATTTAAATCTTGTTTTTGTCAGACTGAACTTCGGTAATAAAACCTATATTCTGACGTACCTGATCTCTTCAGCTAAAGTCAATAGTGATTGTTTACCTCTGTTACGTTAAATGGAATAAAATATATGTACACAAAGGTATTGCGGCGCGGCATTGAGTGTAACAGTGTGGCTGAGTATCACTCAATGACTCATTAAACGTATCGATCATTGTGAACTTGGAGTGCATAAAGTTAACGCAGAGCTTTATGTCGCAACACAGCAATTACTGTAAACCGACTCGATAATTATTAATTATTAACAAACCGTTACGTAATTGTTTCCACTGTAGAGTTAGTATTCGATACGCAATTGTATTTCTTTTGTTGTTCGATAGTTTTATATAAATCGCGTGAAAACCATTACAAGTGAATCTAAAATGAATACTGTTTAATCTTACATCTTACTATCTCACTAATATTATAAATGCAAAAGTTTAGATGAATGGATGGATGTTTGTTAGAGTTTGTAGCCTAAACGGTTGAACAGATCTGGATAAAATTTGGCATAGAACACATAGGCTACTTAATTTTTTTAATACCACACAGACGGTGTCGCGAGCGAAAACTAGTTTAAAATGATCGACGTTTAGAAACATGCCAATATAGTAAATAGTTTAGTAACATAAACCAATTTAGTAGTGAAAGCAACATTGAATATCTGTGAATGTAACAATATGGGTAATGAAACAAAGATGTTCGTGACTATCCATTTAATATGTAATGACGTAACTTAGATGTTATCTCAGTGAACGTTCAAATTATTCCATTGTACCTGTTTCTCTATTAAATCATTCACAGACAGCAGCACAGACATCTATCTGGTCTAAATCTAAGTCATACCTAGTATAACTATATACTATGCCACAAGAACGTCGGCCTCAATAGTAAATGTAGGCCTCGTAGAAAACACCATCAAATGATGGCGTGACTGATTATTCTTAAATCCGGCTCTTTCAAGCAATGAACATAAATCCAATTATGTTAACGAACTGATTGAACTAACGAACTAACTGGTATTAATAAAAACCTAAACGTGCTAACGTGACGACGGCAAACTATTATCTTAAATATTTGAAGTGTTTGCCGCAGAGAAATATAATCGTTGGATTGTTGATTAACATTGTTTACGCCGGGCGGTACTCGGGTGGGTCGCTAAAGTGCGGTCCGCATGCGATATTGAAGCGATAAGCGGTAATGATGGGATTCCTGCCCTGCCTACTTCCCATTACCCGTTGCCGTTATAAATTATTATATAATTTATCGTAAACCTTATTTTCTTATAAGAATTGTAGCAGAAATTGAATGACCTTGGGTCCCGAATGCTTTGAAAGCTAACATTGGTGTACGTTGTATGCTTGCTTGGCGTAACCCTGCACACCAAGCTGGCTAGCGGACCAGCTCCAATAATAATTGATATGTGCATAGCAGCAATGCATTACGACATCGCACTTCTATAACACGGAAGCCGCACCGGTGTCTTCTATTAGTAACGGTGTAAGATTTATCATGTAAAAAGTTTATGTTAATAAAATAATTCTTATAATTTCAGATGCCTGTTATCGCGAGACTTTGTGAGACTGGGAAAGTGGTTTGTCCAACCTTACGATGGCGACGAAGAGGACGTCGGAAAAAGGTAACTATTTCTCTGATATACGTATTATCTTTTACAGTTAAATTGATACTCTTATGGAAGTAAAACTTGAAGCACTTCCTGTGAATTGTTTCAAACGAAGCTCGGTGGAAATACTAGAGCTCACTTCCTATATCATGAACGAAGATCTCTGTGTTATACTTGTTAAGATAAAGGTGTAACTTCGTTCTCCTTCAAACATTTTGACACATAAGTATTTAAAATTATAAGAAAGTTACTATTAATTTACTTTGCACTTGAAGTTTATGAAATGCTTAATTTTTATTACTAGAAAACAAACACGTAAAGTTAAATTTAAAGAAATATATTTGTACAGATATGTTTTGTACTTATTTAGTTCTATCATAAATGACTTACTTGATATGATTCTTGACAATTATTTTCGTAATACTTATACCATATGATATGTTTCC